AGTGAGAACCGCATCCTCCCGGAAGAATCTTCTAGGGGGTTCAAAAAACGCATGTTTAAAAACAGATACCGTTCCGGAACTTTGGTTTAAATTGGGGTTAGATTTACCGATGCAGCCTTTTCAAAAAAGTTTTAATTCTGTCGAGAGCGCCAGTTTCACACTTCACCACACCGCATAGATTAGCCAGAGCCAATGATGCCTTTAGTTCTGCATGAATCTGAATTCCGATGCCGAAATCTGCGTTGATGGTCGTTAGGGATATTCACGTAAGGCAGACCTCTTGAAAATTTCGGATCAACAGAAGAACTGATAATCCTTTCAACCACTCTACCCAAATGCTCTTTTTAGGAGCATCTACAGTTAACACAATCAGTTCTGTAAGAACCACCATTTTCAGTGGGCATTCACCTGGGGGTGTCCCGAAAATCGTATGTTTGATGTNAATTTCGGATCAAGTGAAGAACTGATAATCCTTTGAACCACTCTACCCAAATGCTCTTTCTGGAAGCATCTGCAGCCAACACAATCAGTTCTGTAAGAACCACCATTTTCAGTGGGCATTCACCTGGGGGTGTCCCGAAAATCGTATGTTTGATGTACATACCGTTCCGAAATTTTCGCTCGAACTCAACTGCCAGATTTACTGATGATCTATTCCTTGCTGAGAGATTACCAAAATCTGCATGCATAAATGGTACCGCGTTTTCTTTTCTTCCATATGTCAGTTGCAACAAAACTAATTCAACCACCAAAATATGGAAATCAGCAGGATGGATCATGGTCTTTTGATAGTGGTGTCAACAACAGTCGAGAACAATAATAAAAACCATTCAAAATTTCTTTCGGTTTTGTTGGTCTAGGTTGATGAGTCATAGAGAAGGCGATGTGGAGCTAACAAAGAAAAGAGGGTAACCATCAACGGTGTTAGTGATCCTGAGATCCTTAGTTGATGATACTTTTCTATACAGAAATGCTGGAGGGGAAAGGGCAGTACGCAATGGAACTCAATATGATGTGTCTCTTACGCTCCGATAAATAAATTCAAAAGAAAATAACGGGTCAGCCGATCGCTTCCACTTTGCCTTAGGAGCGAGGGGAATTTTCACTGCGCGTTATTAGACTGAAATAGTGAAATAAGAAGGGCGGTGAATGAAGGAAAAAAATGAAAAAAATGAATGGGGTAGCCTTGTACAGTGTCAGTAAGAAGTCCTAGGGTCGCATTACTGGCTTCACTATATACTCACTACATTACCAGTACTCCACTCCATTAACCTACCCATCCATTTAATGATTTATATGTAAAGAAGGAAATGTAAGAGTTTCATTGAGAGAATGAGTTTTCCATATCACTACCTATCATACCTTTATCGTAATCATGAACGTTTGCGGACGGACACACCGACATACCGACAAACCGACATACCGAAAAACACACAAACCGACAAACCGACACACCAAGTTTCTGCTTTATAAATGAGAGAGATAGGGCGGGATGGTAGAGTCGAGAGATAAAAGTGAGTGGTAAGTGCAGTGATAGAGGCCCATTCACAACGATAAGCGATGAGGCCTCCGTCAATTTCTTGCTATCAGAATACGAACGCTATCCAGGAAGGTTCGCGATCCAATTAAGGATCCTCTTTGCTTGATATCATTTGCCACAGATCTTAATCGAAAGCCAGTAATTCTGGAATCCTCAACTAATGATAGCTTCGCGAAGAAAGAGGTCCATTCACTTAGAACATCTCCACAGCATCACATTTGCTGTCTAACAGATGAATTTTCGATGGGTAATTTTTTTGAAAGAGAGCAGAAAATCGACATATCCAATCAAAGGCGTAAGCATCGACTTTCACTGAATACCATTTGCACTTCCCTGTTAGTCTTGTGTCAAAGTTCGTGTACAGGAATTATTTGTTTCAAAGAACTAGTGGAAATTAACCGATTACTACAACTTTGTCAGAGAAGTAGGGAAGCCCGGCGAAGTCCGGGTGAACCGACTGGTATAGAAATAATCTGAAAAAAGAAAAAAGACTGTAACTAACAGAAAGTGCCCGCCTTATTAGGATTTGAGAGAACTTTGCAAATTGTGAGGGGACGTTGCGAGGCACTGATGACTGTTCGTTGATTGTAGGCATATTGAAACAGAGCACTCCAGTGCTGGAGTACTGTAAGTGCGCGGACGTTGCCTTGAATAATCTATTCATAGCATTAGCGAGAGATTGCTACATTTGACCTTTTGCGACCGTCAAGGAGTTCTCCGTGTGTAGGCCCGAGTTGAGCACGAGTCGTTGAAATTAACATCATGCCTATGTCCTTGAACAGAATCGACAGTGTGTAGTTGCATGCTGTTTTAGGCTGCTCACTACGCCAGAAGGGGGGTCTTCCGTGTAAAAGGTGCACACTGTTTGTTGAAGAGCGACTGCCGTGAAGATATTCACTACTGAACGAAAAAGTTGACGGCCACCAAGAGTTATGCTCAATTCGACACATTGAAGCAGGGTGAATGAAGTATGAGCATAAGGCACTGACATCTGAAAGTTACCTTATTCGTCGAGTATTTATCTGCTGTAAAGGTCGTGGCAAGTTGGGCAAGCAAAATTTTCCTTCGCATTCGCAGCTTCGTGACGCCTTCAGTCCTCAACCGAGCAGCGAGCAAGATTCTGGGTAACGCCTGTAAGGTTCCAATCGGTGCACACCCTCAATACCAACGTTGGTAGTGCACATGATAAAGGGGAGTCGTACCTGTAAGATGATCCGCACGCGTTCTCTGTTGATTCACGATTCTCATTTTTGACAAAGCGAAACACTCTTTGACCGTCAGAGTGTGTTGGTATCAGCTCTTAGAACCTTCGAAAATGCTTCCCCCTCCTAGAAGGAATGAAAGGACGATAGTGTCCGAGCGGTATTTCAACTCACACGGAAAGGCTAAAGGATCACGTAGCTGACCTATATGACCTACAGGCACTCCATGCAGGGGCAGGGTGAAAGGTATCTTCTGAGGCCACTTATCAGTTCTGATCACTCGCTATCAGTTCTAGTCGGACATTCGAAGTCCCTCGACATCCCATATTACCTATCAAATTGCCATAGTATCGCTCTTAGTAATGGCAGTAAGGTGGTTCTTAGATGGTCCTTACTTTCTAGGTTTCTTTTTCAGTCTCTTTTGATTGTTGTCGCTTCGTACACCTACAATCAGTGTTCCCGTTCTACCGCCCATATTCGTTCTCACTCTGAATGCTCCAGTTTTAGAAAAGCTGGAGAATTTCCGGTCAAACACACACACACACAAACCGACACACCGACACACACCAACTCCCAAACACGCACACATACAGGCGCACACAACGAAAAACCAGCAGGCAATCTCAGAGTTATACTGAAGGATATTATATCACCTCTCCTAGAGATGGTGAGGCCTGCAGTGAATACTTGGAAAAAATAATCAAAGTAATGTTCTTGCCTGATTGTTTTAGAACAGTAAAGGTTCTCTTGCAAGGGAAGGGATTGGCTGCGCAATGAATCGATATTAACAGCAATTCCTTAGAGGCTCTCCCAAACCACATCGTACCGAACTTCATACTGGGGGCAATAATTAAAAGTCAATATTCTGAAGTAACTACTTCTTAGGCTGTTGATATCTATGTTTGAAGGTAACAAAAAGCGATGATGCTCCGTTACTGGTTCATCCGTCACGATACCAATATAAGCCGAATGCGGTGACAGTATACAAAGAAAGCTCAGGTGAACAGTATCTGCAAAAAAGACTAGAATATCTGTTTCGATTTCATTGAAACCCTCTTCCTCTTCCTTTTCATCTAAAGAACATATTACATGCTAACACATGTAGCTGTCAAAAGACCCCTGCTATCCTACTTCATATAATGCGCTAATGTCTGGGTGTTTGTGTGCGTGTGTGTAATTCTGTGTATCTGTGCCTGTGCGTGTATCTGACCAAAAATTCATAACTACTGTTTCCAACGACGTGGAGAACTCAAATTTGGTAGGAGAACTGTTGGCAGGAAGGGAACGTTGACCACTGACGGTATGTACCAGGGCTTGACCCCCTCGGGGGCGCTCGTGAAGTTGTCAATGTGGGCCTGGAGCTTTCAAATACGGCAGGGGTCTGGGCGGCAGTATCGGAATGCTAGCGGTTTGTGGCAGGATTCGGCTCTGTCTGCGAGGGAGCGGTACGTACGCGAAAACTGCTAATTTGGACAAGGGCGTTAAAATTTGGAACGAGTGTAGGCGTCAGATTTGAGAGGCCGACGGCAGGTAGTCGACAAAGGAGAACAGCCAGAAGCATAACAAAGGCCGACCATCACTCCAAGAAAGTTCTGCCTTGGTGGTCCAGAAGAGGCATGTAACAACTGGGAGCTGCTGGAGTAGGAACAGACGATTGACGCTTCCACATACGTTACCCAGCTGCGGAAATTAAAAGAGTACGTACTGGTTGAACGCGGAAATTTACTTCCACCATGGCAACGCCCGACCTCACCGCAAAGGCCGGTTGGAGAAGTACGGATGGCTGATGGTCGCCCAGCCCCCTACAACCCTGGTCTCGCTCCATCCGACTACTGCCATTTCAGCCACCCGTTTGGAACACATTTTTATATTAACAAAAAAGATTGGGTTGCCAAGCTTCTGCAGAAATCGATATTCTTGTCTAAGCAAATGTCGACGAGAACACCTACAGTGACGGCGTCTTGGCTGGTTATTCCCCGAAGACAAATTCTTTTCCTCTATCTAGAAACAAGGGCCACAATCGGTCCGGTGACGTCGCACTTGACTTTCGATGCTCTTATCAATACACCGTCCATACAATTTCTGTTGCAAACATTTCTATGTAAAAAAACAGACCGCCATCTTAGTCATTCTTCTTCTGAGCAGCCTATAACGGCTTTGAAAATTCAGCAGCCACTCTCGTTTGGCTTTGGTGTTTTAGCGTTTGTCAGCGGTCCTGCCAAACGCTGCCGCATTAGGGGCTCTCCAAGTTCAGGAAAATGAGGCTAATTTTTATCACTGTGCAAAGTAAGGTTATTCCTTATTAATTCACTGACCAGCGTGGTAAAACTAGACATTTCCTCTCAGTTAAGTGTCCTCGAGTAGCTTGCTGAAGGTCGACGCACGTTGTATAGAACAAGCAATTTCGGTGTCCTTCCTGGCAAGTCTTTTGACTCTTTAGGGTACGAATCAGGATGATTTCGAGGCATACTTCTTGTGTTGGAAAGCGGAAGTGTCGGTGTAGAATACGTAGCGGGAGAATATATCAATGAGGAACGAAGCGCACCTCTCAGAAACCACTTCAATCGTGAAAGTCGCCTTATAGCTTTATTTTTGGCGCCGTGTGTATAAGTAGTATGCTTAAATGAGGGCTGCCACATCTACGTCAAAATATTACAAAATCAAAAAGCGCAAGTCAAGAGAACCTCAGCGGGAGAATATATCAATGAGATGTAATTCGGAAGGTGTCTCCTTGCCTTGCCCTGATTACATTACAGTCAAAGACAATAAGAATTCCCTACAGCTTTTATCTAGTTCACTACATCAGTAATATGTGTATGCTACTGCTTGAATATTGTTTTAGATACTTCCGAACCGCTGGCACTAGACTTCCAAGAGGCGCCCACTCGTGCACCATCAGTAAACTCTCTGAGCGGTTTCAGCAGTGATAGTGCTGCTTCAACTGCTACACAGGTTGGTAACGGTCTGTTAGTAGTAACACTGCCAATTGGCAAAACCTTAACTGGGGCCATTCACAGAGCTTTTACTGAACATGTCAAGGGTGTCCCCAGATTTAAGGCAATGACCTCACTGTTGCCTTTTTCGTTGTGACACAATGCAGTCCTCTTCGAAAGAGGAGTTTAAAGAGAGGTGGAGGGGGGTACGGAACTTACGTGCGTCCGAGGATGCGCGCGGCAAATTGCGCGGCGAAGTTCGTGACGATTTGTACGACTCTGACGCCCATTCTCGGGGCACAATCTTGAAGTAGAGTACTCTAGTAGGGTCAGATGATCCATCTAATCTACTCTACTTCAAATTTTGGCCTCAATGATAGACGCTGAAGTCGTTCAAATCGTCAGGAACTTCGCCGCGCAAGATGTCGCGCGCATCCTCGGACGCACGTATGTACCCATACGCGAGATTAAGAGTGAGATTTGATTTGGCCCGCAACTCTTTAGAATGCTGTCGGTTGTTCAGAGGATTGCATAAAATAACCACATGCTTGACATTTATTGTGTTTTATGACTATTATACACTTTCAACAGAGCTTGGTATAACCCAATTGCGATTAATATTGTTGTACATTCTGCGCGCGTTAGTTTAGTCGCCTGGTGATTGGCAGCATAATTGGAAAATGCAGACAATGCATCACGATATGGAACATCGCTTGATGGACAGCAGTATACAGGTATGCAATCGTGAGGAATGTCATTATTAATAACGTGGACCTGATCTCCCATCATAGAATCCTTTGGAAGAACGGGAGCTCGGTGATTTGGAGGCCGCGCAGCGTATTGCAGATGAAGTGAACAGACGAGTTGCCTTGTTGAAGTGGGTTTGGTTCATAGCTATGCTTTAGCTACAATTATGCTGGCAACGTATCATGAAATGAAGCGGAAAAAGGAATTGTGGTGGCAGATAAAAAATTGGTGATTGAGTGAGGCTGTGTCAGAGGTGTGCGGGTGCTGAGAGATAAGAAAAAGGCACAGGCAGAGCCAATAAGTTTGGAGTCGTTTTTGGAAAGAAATTGAAACCAATGATTTGTATTCGATAACACTCTCCTAGTGCTACATAAGGCAACCACTAGTGCAGTGAAAATTCTTTTTTCTCAAAAATCTACTTGGGGTTCAGAGGGACAATGTGTATTTCAGATTTTAATGACTAAGGCCTAATGACTTTAACACGAACGTCTCAGTAGGCGAGTACGGTTACTGTAGTTAGAAGCCTGAGAGAATTCAAAGGCACCGTTCACGATAAAAAAGTTATTGAGTTCTTACCTTATTAATACTCAGCGGCCCCCATGGGTTGTAGAAGGGACCCTCTCACTCNCCCAATCTCGACGTCCAGCGCATAGTGGCAGCCCCGTTGTTGCCGTAGTTCGCGTTCCCGCCCCTCGATCGGTGTCACGTTAGACGAGTGTCGAGACAATACAGATTGCTATTACTCATTCTAGGACCCAGCTAATCAGCTAATCGCCGAGTGATGAGACGATGTTTTTCTCCCATTCTTTTCTCCTCTGTTTTTCTTTTTGCTGCCGCGATCCCTCATTCAATTTCCTACTCCTAGAGGCTGGAAAAGGTGAGCTACTTTTGCTGTTACTAGGGTTTTTTTGTTTATTTATGCTTATAAGTGAATGAATTTTTGCTTACCATTGTCTGTTCTTCGCACCAGGACCCACACGCGCGGGACGCCCCACCCTTTTTCTCGTTTCATTCACGTCCAGCCCCCTTTTTAACGTTTTTTCGACGCCTTTTTTCACTTTGGAAACACCGATGCACGCAGTTTCTTCACCTCAGCCGCACTAGTTCCGATCTTGTCTTCCATTTTTCATCATAAACTGGATTACCCGAAATTATGTGAACGGTGCCTTTAAGCTATCAAATGCCCTAGGTTTGATTCTCATCACTACGAAGATGAAAAAACTACACGAAACAGAAGCAATCACTCGAATCACAGGGAGAAGCACTTTTACTCAGCCCGTTACCGATTTTCAGCCGCAATGTAGTTAGATGTTAATCGTTCCTGAACAGTGAGGCACACGTGGCACTGCCTTACTGCCTGCATCGCAACACTGCAGGAAATGTGTCAATGATTTATATGCCCAGGTGTTGTTTGACAACAAGGAGGGACAATCTCCATAAGCCATCTTTGCTTCGAGTTTTACCTTTTCATCTACTCCTGCTAATTGTTATAAAGATCGTTATTCTTCGAAGTAACCGAATCGCATTCTAGTGAGATTGCATATTTGATGGTATCGACAAATTTGACGTTAATGCGAAAAAAAATTAGCTAGAGGCCGTTCAATAATGATCATGACCAAGGACTTCCTGAACTTTTTTTTTGAAGCGATAAGCAGCGATGCGAAGCGATTTTTGGTGGAAAATACAGCGAAGTGTCGCAGTATTACAATGATATCTTCCACGACGAGCAGGTGATTGCACTCAAGGAACGAATCATCTCTATAACTAAAGTTTCATGTGAAATCCGCCTAGAAAGGATATATTACAGTTAGGAATTCGTCGAAACACAAAACAGTCGAAGAGATTGAAGGCAGAGGCAAAAAAATTGTTGGACTCCGTTTTGTCCGCGGAAAACAGTGCGTTGGATTTACAGGTGGTTGGCATAACTTTTTTACCATGTTGTTAAAAATTTTTTCCCGACGAATCTACATAATATATGCGTTCATACAGTGAATGCCGTATGCAAGAGAATTGTCAACGACATTGTTTAGGATAGTGTGGATAGTGTCCATAAGAGTCCAATTCCCAGCTCCCCTCATCAGCCGAACCAACTCAGGAAACATGAATCTTCCCTCACCTTTGCCTCTTCCTTCCGTAATTGTTTTCAAGTCCCAAAAATCTAGCAACTCGAAAATAGAAAATATATAATCGTAATCGAAGACAATAACGCTTGGATGTTTATGAACGGGTTTTCACTAACAGATGTCAAATTTTCACAATACCAAAATCCTTTTGTTGGCATGCCTTTCACCGCTATATTTCTGATACAATAATGTCTACCAGCTCAATCATTGAGCCTATGCCGGACTTCCCTCCTTATTTGAGAAGTTCAGGGAGCTCGGTTGATTCTATCAATTCCTCTTTCAAATACGAATGATTCAACACTATTGTTCACAGACATGAGCGATGAAACTGGCAATCCATATTCAGTTACAACTGTACACGAAAGCTTCAGACTATGCCATTAGACTATGAAATGATATATATTCTTATTGGTATATTCTGATCGTCCGGTCAACGTCGGGCTCACTTCCTCTCGTCTGGACCTAGTCCACCACCTACACCCTTTCCGAATTTATACGCTCTGGTTTAGGAGAACAGTAGCTATTGGTTGAGTTATTGGTTACCGACCGTACACACACACACACACTTCGGCTCACTTTGTGAGCGCTCTGCTTTCCATAAGCGGGATCCTGCTCAAGCCCTTCGTGTTCAAGTCATTCAGTTCATTCCCAACATATCCCAACTTGACTTCGAGACTTACTCAACTGCGCTCAATGCGCGCATATTCCGCACTCCCCCTCCATCCGCATCACCGCGCTACTTGGATGGAGTTCTTCGCCGTCACTTCCTACCACCTGCATCAGTGTCTCGTTCCTGCACACAGTACTCCTACCACTTTTGAACATTTCACGCTCAAATAAAAAAAACTTTAATGCAAGTCTCTTGATAGAAGTAGTTTCGTTTTGCCACCTACCAGCACTGTTCCCATCCTGCCTCCTCTACACCTATCCAATTCGAAATCCTAGATCTAAATTAACTAATTTCACGCACGCCCTCCTCTCTGTGGGTGTGGGATTGTAGTTTTCCCATCCACCGTAAGCATTCCTGTCTTGCTGTCTGTTCTCTCATCAAGGTCGAACGCTCTCGGTCTAGAGATGCAGTAATCATGAAATTCCGGTCACACGCACACACATATACATACACACGCCGACAAATCAACAGACAGACACACACACCAACAGGCAGACTCATTTGGCGCGTTTTATTCGGCGTAGTAGTAGGTTGTGGTCATGGGTTTGAATCCCGAATCGATATTTGCCTATGCTAAACGATCCTTCTATCTCTCTGGGGCCGGTCAAAATGTTGTTCAAACCTCGAACATGGGAGACCCTTGAGATAGTGCATCTCTACAACGCCCTTGAAACTCGTCCGCAGTGGGTGTGGCAATCACACGAAACAATGCCTAGCCCCTCAATGTGCCCTATACAGGACGTTTCTCGGCCTAACATCGGCGCGTATGGTATCAGGAGGAGCCTCGAATTCGTCCTACGTAGAAATCTTAGCATCTATTTTTGTCGTGGACTGTGCTTCTTATTTGTGTTTGCTGTTATGTGTTTGTTACGTTGAATCTCACCTCGAATCACGTAGTTATCTGAACACAGCCACGCTTGGTTACCAACCCTCCGCGAGTATCCGTACGCTGTGACGGATCCAAACTTGACTACGACCTTCTCTAGGACACCTGACTTAAACTTAATAAACAAGCCATTTTTCTGGTTTAAGAGCACTAAATGCCTATACAACCCTTGTCGCAAAAACACGATTGCTGCACAGTTTTATTAATAAAGAGAGATGTAGAAAGAAGTCATACTGGACCTTCTCAACCACAACCCATCTTCAACATAACGATTTCTGCTAATTTTTTTGAAGACATTTTTTCCAAACAAAAGCTATTCCTCTGTCAAACGAAACAGGCGGTAACTAATTCTGTGCCTTGAGTAAGACCTTTTCAAATTGGCAAAGCAGGTTTGTTTTCCAGATTTTCCTAGATTTTCCGAAGTTTAGAATTACTTCATGGCTCTTTCGTTCTATTGGTAGATCACTCTTATTACTGACTGAGGCTTTAACTCTCGCTTTCTTTCCGTGAACAACTTTCCGCCAGTACCGCAAGGAATAAGTTGATGCATGCCCAACTTTCAAGGCGAGCCAGTCATCTCAAGCGCGAGTCAAAGTCTGTCCTGTCTGGTTCAGATGGGGCTCCGTTTGTAAAGGGCTTATTAGCACAAGGTTGGACTACAAGTACCAGTTTTCAACTATTTAGCACAGTTAGTTTAGGGATGTTTTTCGATCCTCAGCAATGGGCCCCTACATCGTATTCCCACACTAGGGACGATCAGATGTGCGTAGACATCTTGGAAGGAGCATGTAGGATATGGATTATCGTAGGCACGGTAAAAATTCTTATTCTAGCATGGTAACGATTCTCAGCACAGAATGGGAACGAAGTGTAAGTGGCGGACTCGACGGAAGTTTTCATGACCCGACTGGCCCAGCCTTTTCCCTGACCTGAAATCATTGGGCCCCACTGGTAAGATCTTGAGAGATGGATAGCAGATAAGGGAGCCACAAATACAGCCCAGATGTTTGCCCAGTTGGAAAGGAATTGAAGAAAACTGGTCAGTAAGCAATTGTTAGCTTGATTGTCAATGCTCAACCGATGCCTAGCCGTAATTATTGCCCGTGGCACCGCTGCGAAGTATTAGACAGATAGATTCGCGTATTCATTCCATGGCGAGCAAGTACGAGTGAGGCTTTTTTTTGAAGTGTTGAAACTGCTGGAAGTTTGCCCTGTGAAGAAAAGTGAAAAAAGATCTTATAAGCAAATTAAAGGACGTTTTGTAGTTCTGTAATGGGGCATACAGTATTATCACTGATGTTAACACATAAAGAAGTCAGTGAAAGAATTTAGATCGAGATCAGTCATGGAAAAGTAGATCCATTGCAACTTCTTTTTGAACAGTACTGTAAATGTCACAAAAAACGAAGGAGATAAGCCCGTAAAAGAATTCGTACTGTGTCAGCGTCTTTTTGAGTTCCTTGACATTCGAGGGGCTGATCTACGTTCTATCCATTACCGAAAGGAAGAATCGGTAAAATCCTTGATCAACATTTTCTACTTATTTGCCTCTTTACACGCTACAATTTAAAATGCGATAACCACTTGAATTGTTTATCGAATGTTTGTAGCCATAGTTTTAACAAGTGTTACAGGTGGCTGACTATATTTTCAACGAGTTACTCCGCATGGCTCCTGAATATGCTGAGGATCCCTACGATGGGTTAGTTGAGGCGAATTTGATATTGTTGAAATAGAGAACATCCAGGAAGCATTTCTCAATTAAATCGGTTACCAAGTCAAGCGACCTTGGGTGGATAGGAGTTAGCCTTATTGAACTCGAGTGATTTCAGTTATCGATGAGGATGCTTCACGCCTCTGCTTCTAGTTTCACATTGTAGGTCAAATTGGTCTCGAGCGCTTTGAAGAGCGGGAAACTAGTTCACACTTTCCCCACACCGCGATTTTTGAGGTCCAATGCTCAACAGGTTCATCGTGCCGCAAGCCGTTTAAGGGATGCGCCCCAGCACTCAACTTCCATTCAGAATCGTAGTGGCGTAATGAGTGCGTTTGTGGCCTACACAATGACTTGCGGTGGCCAGCCGAGTGAAAATCAGTGCTTTTATCCTCCTAGACGAGTCCTGTACCAATTGACCGACCCCGGAGAGATGGAAGGCTTGGTTGGCCTAAGCGGGCATCGAGCCGGGATTTGAACCGCTGACCGTGCGTGTGAGATAGTGCGCCACTCTCGAGTATGGTGTTATCCTGTGTGTTATATTTCCAGATTGGGCATTAATAACGCCTGGAAAACGCTGATTGATAATGACGTTGTAAAAAAGCAGTCCAGAGCTTGTTTGAAAGCGGTGGTGAGTGTTTGAAAAAATCAAGCTCAATGAAGAAAACTCAGGCAGTCGGAAAAGAGATCCACTTACAGTTTTCATCTCATCACTCATGGGTTAACGCCGGTATGCTTTCACAGCAATATGTCGTTCCGCGATGTGATCAGCTGCCGTGTGATGTCATGACACCTGCCGAGGTACGACGCGGTGCAACCCTTAGCATCCAACCTTGATTAGAATTTGGATTATCAAATACTTCTATTAATATTGTTATTATTAATATTCAGTACTCTACTGCACCAGCTTCATGGATCTTAGCATGTATAGTCATTTTCGTTATCTGTGCTGTAGTATTAGGATTCCTTATCAAGTCTAGTTAAAATCACCTATGAAGAATACTACGAAGAAGTCATCTACTTTAAACATTTAATTTTCTCAATGAGTTAATAAAATATTGTTGAAAATCTTGTCCAGTTGTACAGGTAGCCTAGAATTGAGGCCAGTCGACAAATAAGAAAAGCTTAAGCGTTACAAGCACCTCGAGGTAGGAATCTATGCTGATGATTTCTCTTAATTCAACAAAGTTTACCGATGTTCGAAATCGTCAAGTGTTAACATCGTTGTCGGGTAGACCGACTTACTCCACCTTCCTTCCATCCACTGACGAATTTGGAGAATACTCTGTGATCGATTTACCATTAACCTCGGTATGATAAAAGCGAATTCGTAGTGAGTTATTAGGTTGAGTCATAAGTCCTCGGGCAATGTGATAGTGATGAGTTC